GCAAAAAATTTTAAAACCGTAAGTCCTAATCCTAACTATAGATTCCGCTGCGTTAGGATTTATTATTCAATAGATTTGAATGTGCACATTATCGACGTTCCCAATAGAACCCAAAAACTGGTATCAGAGCCCAGGCTAATTTGACTTTGTGCACTATTCGAATTAGGACTTGCATGATATATGTGAATTAATTGTGTACAGACGCAACGTATAATAGATTAGAATCGCAAATAAGTGTGTTTGCTGTTATTCTTGAATCCATTTATTATGGCCCACATGTATGTTTGTTTTTTAATTCATGTATGTCGTTTTATAAGCCTCGGACATGTCGAGGATTTTTTGGGTTGGTGAATGCTTGTAATAATTTATTCGCGCGGTGGGACACCGCATAGTTTAAATACTTACTAGATCATTCATGTACAACCCCTGCGTGGGCCATAGAATCAATGTATGTAATTTATATTATGTAATTGTTCGTTGGACCCAGTAAGCACGGACATCTCTCGACGAGACGAGGCAGGCTACTCCGTGAACCTGTAGTTGATGGGATACGTAGTACTGAGCAAATGCAAACATACTCGTAGGCAGCTTGCTGTTAGATACGAGCATTGTTAAGGTGTTTGCAGACGGATATGCACGGACCCAGGTCAACAGAAGTACGGGCGACAGCGGCAGTAGGCACACGCCAACAGAGGAGACTCGATGGCGACTTTTCCGATGACGACTTGTTCAAGACGAAAAGTGGGAGTCACAGCGAAAAAGGAAATTCCAAGTCCTGAATCGGAAGACCCAGTTCAACAAGGACTAGACTGCGTTTCCCAAAAGATTGGAGATTGATTAAAATGGCCATGATAGTTGGATCGTAGTTCCTCGTTTATTATTGCCTATTAATCATGCATGTCCTTATGTGATTTAATTGCTCTATGTGCAAGTTGAATTATTAGAAGCATGTTTAGGAAAATCCCTTTAAAACTAAAAATTATATTAAGTGTGTAATGGGTTGAAATAAATAACATCCAAGGCCTCCATTATAGGTTTGTCAGTGAAGTGATTTAAATCGAGCTCAAAGGACGTTTTATTTCACAGTTTACAAGGACGAATCTCCTTTGGGATGGTTATAGTTAGCTATTTCAAAAGCGTATGGATCACCCAAAGGTGGACTTATAATTTTGGTAGTAAACTCAGGATCAATTAATGGGTTACGCTTAAAGTGCAAATAACTGCGATATTCCCAAAGGAAAAGGTCGTTTTTATTCTTTTATAAGTTAATTGCACTGGCCAAAAGTTCAACCGACTATTAGTTAAGTATTGCTTGGCAGTACGTTAAGCTAATGGGATTTATCCCTCCTCTTGCGACGGTTTGAACCGTAGACGTCCACACTCCGTGGCCTGTGGGGATTCGGTGTTTTGAGGTGCCGGTGAATATATTCAATGTTGTTTTGAAGGGATCAATATTTGATGATTCGAAAACACTTAACTGAGTAAAGACTATGTTTGCATGATCCCAGGAATTCAAAATGTCTTTTCAATCCATTGTCCGTAATACTCAAAGATAATTTACTTGTTCAAACATGATTGAAAATAGAACTTGGATAGTGTATTGTTTTGCTGAAGAATACAAGCCGAATGGCATGTGTATCTGGTCTAAGCGAAATAGACATAGAAAGATGAATTGTCCTATCCTTAATACAAGAAAGGTAAATCTTATTCACTGGGAAGTCGAAGCATTTTAAGTGGTGTTATCTATCAGTGCCTGGTATATAGATACGTAACCACTAATTATGTAAAATGGTTTCAGTGAACCAATCGACATGTGAAGGTTAGATTACCATCTAGAATGGGCTAGCTACAGAAGTAGCAACTATTGCAGTGGAGTTATCTATTAAGTAGGATTTTTGGTTAATCGAGTAATTGTCTTTTCGTACCATGTTTTAGAAAGAATTCATATTCAGTTTCTAAATTGTGTATGGATGAAAACATGATGTTTTATCTATTTGGTACGTAGGTAGACGATATGCTCAGTGAACCAATATGTCTCACAGTGCAGTAGGTGAAATTAGTAACACGTCGACTAGAACCAATCAGAAGAAAGGTCCTTCAATAAATGAATCATTACATTAATCTGGCATCTAGTATTTGGGATTTTAGTATTAGTAGAATTCAAAGGTGGATAGCCATTGAACTCATGGGTTATTTGGGAATGGATGAAACTATCAGACCTACGAATTATACTTGGTAGCTAAAATCACAAAAATGACCTTTTGAAGGTCGAGGGTTAGAATCCAAATAAATGTTATGGTTGGTTCATCCAATTTGTAAAGTTCTATGATTTTAGGACGAAAGGTAGTATTGAATATTTTTCTTCGGAGAAATTTGTTCAAAACAGGGTACATTAAGTGACATTCCATAAGTTTTAGTACATCGAAAGAGTGCAATGGCAGTTATGGAAAGATGTCGATTTTAATGTATCAGTGGCATTACGATTGAAATTGTAGTGACTAATACCTTTTGGAAAATCATAGAAATACTTATTGGATGTTGAGATTCGATCTCAATGTGTTTAACCTGGTTCATTGGAACAGGACGATGCAACATACCGAAGGAAAATGTCTCTCTAAAAGATTGGTTGTGTCAATAATGAGTTATTCGGAATTTCGCTTTTTCGTATTGGAGTTGTGCAAATAGCAAGATAAGTTTCGAACATTATCCTATCTAAGTTTAGTAGTCATTACTCTGAATGAATTGTTGACAAGACTTAGGCCTTGACAGGAACATATTCAGATTCAGAGCATTGCAACACACGTGCTGGAAAGTTGATACTAATAGGATTGGAAAGGATGTTGGGAAATTAGGCTATTTGTGGGATACTTCATGGTAACGAGAAATGAGTGGATTATTATAGTACTAAAAGTCAGAATATGTTCGTTAGCGCGAATGTATGATTTTTAGAGGAATACTAAGTAATAAATCACGAAGTTCATTTGTAGAATTGTTTTAAGGAAATATAAAGGTAAAAGTTCAACTTTATTACCAAGTGTACAAATGTGATACCACAAGGAAAAACTGCAACACGTATTTTGTGCTATACACCTTTGCAGAGGGAACCTCGTTGTAGTGGGAGGGTTGCAAGACAACTCCATTCGTGATAATTAGAGAGTCGTTGGACTCAGTCTGTATTAATCACAAGTTCATGGAATTCATGTTTTTGAGAAAGTCTCGGACTTAGTCTCTAGTAAACTTGAATCGATCCCTAGTTATACAATGAGGAGATCCAAGACAAGGATGCATAAAATTAGAAAAGTTTTAATGATTTCTAATTTAGGGTCATGGACTCTTATCAGATCTGGGTTCTTATAGAATTACCAAGTAGCAAACTTGCTATTGGACGAAATCTCTAAGTGAAGACTTTAGTACAAGGCATGTTGTGAAATAGCAGACTCAGAAAGAAGGGATCTATTATGTGTTAGTTTTTCACCAGTAGCCGTGTTTAAGTCTATACATAGAAAGGCTTGATGTGAAATGGTGAACTCAGAAAGAATGGGATCTATTATGAGTTAATTATTTCACCGGTTGCCTAATTTAAAGCTGATTCCATTCATATGAGTTATGAGTTAGGCAAAGTGGTTGTCAAGACATTTTCCTTAACCAGAAGTCTTGTAAGAATATCCACGGGGCAGCACCCAGAAGTTTTAATTTAAAAGGGCTAAAGAGCATTTTGTCAGTAGGCTGACAAAGTCCATTTAAAGGACCGTGGTGGGCCGATCATTTGGTTTATAAGTTTGAATAGTAGATTTGATCATTAACCAAATGAGCATTGTATGTGGCGCAATGGAAGCATGGTGGTATTTTTGTACTATGCGTAGACAACATCTTGATCACTGGAGATAGTGTGAAAATGTTGACAGGCGCAAGGGTATGTTTATCCAAGTAGTGGTACATGAAAGATTCAGAATCAACAGATATTCTTGAGATTGAGGATCAAAAGAAAGATATGTTGCGATTATCCTAATTTTCATGTCTAAACTATTGTAAGGCTCATTCTATTTTTGCATGATATCTGACAGTCCTTATGCATGGCAATAGGAAGCCAAGTATATGCAATAAATGAGGCCTGATAATTATTACTGAGAGTTTAGTTGGTAAATATCGAAGTAATCCTTGATGGAAGCAATGATTCATGGTAGAACATATAATCAAGCGCCATAAAAGGGCTAAGGAGAATATGTAGGGTGACCAAACGAATCATAAGCAACCTTTGGATTACAAAGGATTCTGATTTCTAATCAGACATGAACAACAAGTAAAAACCACCTTATGGTTTGTGTTCACTTGTGGGAACCAAGTAGATTAGAGGAATGTCAAGCGGTGATGCGTTGACGGATTCCACTATGAACTCAGTACGTCCCTTCCCAAATGGCGAGCGATGTAGAGATTGGAATCGCCATTGAACTAAAAATGTGAAACCTCGTCTAGCCAGGTCAGGTCACAATTTGATTGTGATGACATTTGGTGCAGTTACAAGACAGAGAGGAATCACTAGTTCATAAAGCAAGTGACACATAGAGCAAGTACGGCTGTTGCAAAGGACTGCGACATGGTGGATATTTGTCGCCTAGTTACATCGGTAGACAACCAGGTAAATCTTTTTAGGATTGGCTTTCCGGCAAAAGTGGATGAGGGCCATGTTAAAGGATTGGAAGTCGGATGTATGGCAGAAAGGACAACAGTTCTTTGAGAATTGAGATTGAAAGAGAATCGTGGTTAGCAATAGGCATGAGCTTATTACGCATAAGTGGGAGATTGTTAGAGGTATGCTGTAAAAGCTCCAATTTGCAGATTCTATCAATTCCATTTTGATCTGGCCATCATGTTTCGGTCAAAGTACATATGCTTACAGTTTATTTATTT